TGGGTGGATGGATGGATGGATGGATGGATGGATGGATGGATGGATGGATGGATGGATGGATGGATGGATGGATTTGATTAAAAAGACGAATTCAAGAACATTAAAGTTAAAAAGAGCAGCCTAATGGACCAAAATTTGGTTTCTTGTTTTTAGTCTTTGGTGGCTCTACAGCAACAAATGTGTCACTTTAATCCAATCTTTAGATTAAAAAATATATATATTAGTATTCTGGGTCAAGCTGAAAACCCAACCCTGCTGATTTTAAAGACTGACACCGTCTAAATTTCACCCAGTGCTGGGTTACAAATTGTGGTGTTTTTAACTCAGCAGTCTTAGTGTGTAAGTAAAAATCTGTCCTGCTTTGCCAAAAAATTAATCTGATAAATTTGTGTAAACACATCTGACAGAGCAGCATTTAGCAAACAAATAATCATAATAAATTGTAGGGATATAAATTAGCATGCACATTATTTATAATCCTAATGGAGGTGGGATAATTGCATATTCTGAACCTAAATTGGGTTCCACGTATTGCTCACCAGCCGTACATCGATGGATTACCACGTGTTTAATGAGAAAATAATTTAACAAAGTTTTTTGTTTCCTCCACTTTTTTTTCGCAGAGTGCTGTGATCCCTCTGAATATTTATACACAAAACACGAGGTCTTCCTTCATCGGGGGGGGGGGGGGGGAGATAATTGCTGTATTCAATGATCAGTGTAATTAGTTGCTTGCAAATTCCAAGTGAAGTGATTTTAATGTAGCATGAGTCTTGACAGCCTTGTGGTGCAGTTACCGAAGGAAAACAAAGCAGGAGGTTAAGAGGTGAAAATTATTCAGAGGAGCAATTCCTCAGAAACTTAGAACAAGTTCTGAAGTGTGACATTTTCAGAGTTAAATCAGCTTAATTCAGGGATGTTAGACATCAGGAATTATTATCCATTGTGAGCAGACTTTGTAAAGTTTATAAACATTCCATTCTATTTAAATTTTTGTTATTCAGAACAAAGATTAGTGTTTAAGGTTTGATTTTTTTATTAACTTTATTAACTTGCTTTTAACATTTTGTTAGCATGTAAAACCCAATTAAAGATGGCCGCCACAACAAAAGGATATTATCAAACACAAAAATGGTTATAATTCAGGGRATTTTACAGATTCCGAGCTATAACTTGTGTAGCATAACTGACAATCTTTCATACTCACACATACAGGTGCTGATAGATCACACAAGATATTCCAACATTGCATGAGATTGCACAAAATGGTATTTTCAAGGTTTGATCAAACATGCAACAGCTCCATCATTTGACAACATAAGATGATCGTAGTCTGAAACTCTGGCATGAAAGATGGTGGGAGATTATTCATTCCTTTAAGTAATACCAGGCCTTAATTTTTTTAAAGAAATCCATAATTTAAAACCTCTCTTTTATTCTTTTCTCTGTAAGGTAACTACTATGGTACCCCAAAGCCTCCAGCAGAGCCCAACTTGGTGCAGCCTGACCTGGTGGATCAGGTGCTGTTTGATGAAGACTTCACCGGCGAGGTCCCCAGGAAACGCACCACCTCGGTCAGTAAAATGGATAGGAAGGACAGCATTGTGCCTGAGGAGGAGGAGGATGATGACAGGCCCCCACTGGTCAAYGGATTGCCTGGTCAGTTTTTTCTTTCTTTTTTGAAGTGCTGCATGTTGTGTTGAATAACAGATTCTTCTATAGTTGACCTCGGGTTGTGAAAGAGTYCATTTCACTGTCTGTTTTCTAGCAAAAACATTCAGTCTCTTTGATTCCTATAGCCATCATATTATAAACATCAGTCTGGGTTCATGGYGTAATACATTTTGAAATACCAATGTTTGTGTCATATTGAAGTGTTGGATTCAATTCAGTTCARTTCAKTTCATTTATATAGCACCAAGTCACAACATATGTCCTCTGGGCACTGTACACAAAAATCAATCTAAAGAAGCCCACAGATTGCATTGAATCACTTCATCACAGTCTCCCATCCTGAGCAGCATATTGGCGACAGTGGAGAGGAAAAACTGTCTTTAACGGGAAGAAACCTCCTGCAGAACCAGGCTCAGGACAGGTGGCCATCTGCCTCGACCGGCTGGGTTTGGTTGGGCAGAAAAGAGACACAGAAGCTGCGTTTCCATTGACCATGAAAATGCGCAAATTAGAATTTCGAAAGTAAATTTGCTCAATGGAAACATGTTAATTTCGAAAAAAAAATGACATTTCTCGACAAAATGTTTTTGCGCTAGGATGAGGTGGTTTTTCGGCCGTATCGAAATTGGTGTTTTTCGCAAAACTGCAATGGAAACATTTTTTTCGCATCATGGGAGTCACGTGATCAACAACCGGCTGTTTCTACTGGCAAAAAAGACAACGACGAAGAAGATAACAGGAAGTAGAAGTAGTAGTAGTATCACAGAAGTTGTAAAAGAAAGTAGTAAACTCACCGACTGCAATTTCCCAAAAACACGGCATACGTAGCCACTCCCAAGTCGGGGGTTGTTGCTGGAAAGCCTCGATAAAAGACGCCGACGTCTCCTCTGATGATGAGCGCTAGTGTCATGATAGCAATATGCTATGTGTTTACATCCATTGCCGCCATGTTTGTAATGACTTATCGCGAGAACAAACGTATTCACGCGTGACTTTAATAGCATTTCATACTTAATGGAAACACTGCAGTTGCGAAACTGTGTTTTTTCGACATTAACAGCTTATCGACAAAGTTTTGCGCACATTTGCAATGGAAACGCAGCTAGAGCAACACAGAAGGACTGGTCCAGGTGTGTTTTTCTCTGAAAGAGGAAAGAAACATGTAATTGATAGAAATAATAACAAAAATGTGGAGGAGAGTGACTAAAGACAGCAGCAGAGTGAGGAAATGTGCTCAGTTTGTGCTCCAACCATCTAAAYCTATAAACTATAGCAGCAGAACTAAGGAATAACTCRRGAAACCAACCCTAACTATAAGATTTATCAAAAAGGAAAGTCTTCAGTCCAGCTTTAAAAGTAGACAGAGTGTCAGCCTCATGGGCAGAAAGTGGAACTTTGTTTCCACAGGGGTGGTGCTGGATAACTGAAAGCTCTGCCTCCTGTTTTACTTTCAGAAACTCTGGGAACCACAAGTAAACCTGCAGTTAGATGGCGTTCGAGCAGATTTATCATCTTTATAAAAGTCTATTCTGTTTTTGTTTTAAACCTATTTGTTTAGGTGTTTTGTGGACTCCARTCCAATTGTACTTAAATATATACATTTTTCAATCAGATGTGTGAAAGCAGCTTTCTACCACTTTTATTGAACATTGAGGTTTGATGAGCAAGTTTGTGTTTCTCTGACRTTTCTGTCACCTTAGTGGTTTGAGGCTGATGAAGTCCTTGGACTCACCCATCAAATTAGTTTCCAAATTAAAATTTATTGTTAAAATAATAACTTAAATATCATCCAATTGTATTATATAAGCTAAACCTTTTATTTTTGCAAACCAGGTTTTTGCTCAGTAACTGAGTCAGCTCAAAAACAGAGCATCATCTCCAAATGAAGTTTAGAAGCTTAATCTGAATTAAACTTACATCCATTAGTAAATGTTCGGGAAGTTAAAAGTCTGCAGCTCAGACATGTGTTGGCCATCACAGTTCACCTGTAACTGTGCACACTCTTTGTCACACACATTTAAAATTAATGATCATATGTGCCATTATTAGGGTTGTTTGGTTTCAACAGTTTCATGCCATCGAGGGAGAGATTTGTGACCAAAAGTGTAACAAAACGAATGCAGAAGCCCAATACGGAATGTAAAACTGTCAGGATGTCGACAGGAATAAATGTCCGTTATTTTCTTGCTCTGTGAATGAGGGTTAAAAAGGTCAGCTGTGTGAGTAAACACATCCAGCCACGACACAATGTTTCAGCGATGGACAAGCAACACACACCACACAGCTCTGAGGCCGGCACACGGCAGAAAAAAAAATAAAAACATTTATTTTAACCTTTAACCAGGACTTATTTTTCTTTATCATTTCAGAGAAGCATTGTTAAGTTTGGACCCAGCAGCTTAACTTCTTTAATTGCCCCTTTAGAAGTTATTTGTGATGTCAAAGCACTAATGACTGAACTCGGTGAACAGTGAAAACACTCTGTTTTTTAGCTAATGTCAACTTGTGACATTTTCTGTGGCTTACATAGTTTTTTACACGTAGATTTTTTGTAGGGTRAGTTATTACAAAGGTTTTTGTTAACTCATCTTTAAAAAATTCTAGTTCAAAGGGAAAAAAACATTGTTTCGTGCATTTATAAAAGCTTCTCCAAATTTTGAACAAGTCGTGRTATAAAACTTAAAGAGAACACAGCAGTTGTCAACTAAGCAGGTGACTGAAGCCTCCCATCTGGGATGTCCATCATTATGACCCCCGCACACAAAGCGGGGATCATATTGTTTTCCTACTATTTATTTATTTATTTATTTATTTATTTATTTATTTATTTATTTATTTATTTGTTTGTTTGTTTGTTT